CCAGTGCCACATTCCTGAGATCAGCATGATGTTCCAGTTGAGGACTCCCTTTGACTCTGTGTTTGTCAGTTGAGGACTCCCTTTGACTCTGTGTTCATCAGTTGAGGACTCCCTTTGACTCTGGTGTCTTTGGGTACAAGTACAGGTTCTGTACTGCTGTTATTTGGTGCTAATTGGCACAGGACAGAGCAGAGTTTAGGGCTGTTGTACATAGGGTCGCTATGAGTCGCAAGTGACTCGATAGCACATAACAACAACAACAACAAACTATGATATGTTCAATACTCTTCTACAGCACCACAGCTCAAAGGCATCAATTCTTCTTCTATCATCCTTAGTCATTGTCCAACTCTCTGATGAATAGCAAGTAACTGCAAAGACCATGGCTTGGATCAGGCACACCTTAGTCTCTAGACTGACATTGTTGCTCTCCAGTACTCTAGAGGAGTCTCTGACAGCAGATTTTCCAATGCAATGCATCTTTTCATTTCTTGGCTGCTGGTATTGAGAGTGTTGATTATGGAGCCAAGTAGGCTGAAGTGTTAACGATCGCAATCTCTTGTCCATCTATCACGATGCTGCCAATTGGCCCAATAATGAGAATCTTTGTTTTCTTGATGCTGAGCTTCAATCCATATTGAATGCTGCAGTCCTTGACCTTCTGCAGCAAATGCATCAAATTCTCCTCAGTTTTGGCATTTAGTTTTTAAATATCTTGAAGTCTTACAGTAATATTCATGAGCACTGCTGTGTTCCTGATGACTATTACATTCTCTGATTTGAATCAAATATTGATGATTATCTTCCTAGTGGTATTGATAACCCTTAGCCATGGCATAGTTGAGTTCCATAGATTTTTTTGGGTGGGGACGGGGGTGTTTCTTGGAATGTGTTAGGCAAGATCCCACAGAGAAAAGGTCCTTGGCTGGGCTTCCTACCAGCTCATGAAATAGCAGTTCACTGTTATTGAGGTAGTATTTGTTTGAGATTGCTTGTTTACAGTCCTATACATGTTGGATTTTGTTGCACTTTGCTCAGTTATATGACAAAGTGAATTCTATCCATGGACCCTTCAGACTGAGATGGGGCTGCGCTCTCAGCCAGCACCTTCCTCCACCACAACTGAGGACTCACACCTGCAGATTTACCATGTGATGTTCACATGTGTTAGTAAGATTTTGTTGTAGAATTTTTATAAACTTTACAGAATTTTCCTTCTCAAGTTATGCTTGATTTTTTTGGGTTGCAATTATAAAGCTGCATTTTGTTAGCAATAAACCATAGATGCACCTGGTATTGTGACTTGAACCAAATGGGTACTAAATATTAAACAGTTATCCATTCATTATAGATAGTAAGTCTAAATTATGTAATACACGTGGCATCACTGACTTTGGTGGAGTTTCTTGCAAAGGTGAATTAATTATTAGAATGCTTGCTATTTATTAACCTAGCCTTGACTTTTAATATACCTTAAGCCAGATCTTGTTTCTTGCTGAGAGCTTTAATTAGACAACATACTTGGCAGGCAGTTGAGCAGTTGGGTTGAATAAGTATAGAAATACTTCTTCCTGAATTTCTTGTGTCTCTGTTGGTCAAGTGTCTTTGGGAACATGCTGCACCAGATTCTGTAATAGAAGTAGAATAACAAATAAGGAACACGTGGCCTTATCTTCAAGGAGTTTGCGATATAGGGAGAGATAGACATGGAGAGATGATAATTAGAAGAATTCAATACAGGGTTGCTGTAAGGAAGGATTTGTCAGTTATGTTGTGTATAGAGGCAAAGGAAGCCCTTATAGGCAACTCTATGAGTACAATTCCACTCTGTAAATTTGAGCCTTAGGCAAAGCAGCATAGACGCTACTGAAAGTAATGAAAGAGGAAATGACACTTCTGCTGAGCCTTAAGGGATGAATGTTGTTGTTGTTATGTGCCGTTGAGTTGCTTGCAACTCATAGTGACCCTATGTACAACAGCCCTAAACTCTGCTTTGTCCTGTGCCAACCTCACTGCCTCTGACACACCCATCCTGATTACCCCAGTCACTGAATCAATCCACCTCATAGAGGGCTTTCCCGTCCTGTGCTGTCCTTCCACCCTCCCAAGCATGATGTCCCTCTCCAAGGACCTGTCCCTCCTTACAACATGTTCAAAGTATGTTAGATGGAGCCTTAGAATCCTTGCCTCTAAGGAGCCACCCAGCTTAACCTTTGACAGGATGAATCCGTTTGTTTTCCTAGCAGTCCATGGTACCCTTAATACTCTTCTCCAGCACCACAGCTCAAAGGCATCAATTCTCCTTCTATGCTCCTTAGTCATTGTTCAACTCTCTAATGCCTAACAAGTGGTTGCAGAGACCATAACCTGTATCAGATGCACCTTAGTCTCCAGAGCGACACTATTGCTCTTCATTACTTTGGAGAGGTCCCTAACAGCAGATTTTCCCATGGCAATACGCCTTTTAATTTCCTGGCTACTGGTGCCGAGAGTGTTGACTGTGGAGCCAAGCAAATTAAATATGTGAACAAAGAGATGAATAGTAGAGGAATAAAACATTCCCAAAAGGAAGAAAAGGATGGGCACGTAGGGAGGAAAGTCAGGAAAAAGCCTCCTATAGCTGGGGCAAGGTGTTTAACTTGGCAGCATTGTAACTTGTAGGTGAAATCACAGTGGTGAGATGAGGTTGGCTATGGAGATGACGTTGATGCTATGTGTATCTTCACACCTATGGCTGACTCTTCAGGAGGTATGCAGAGGCAGTAAATCCTGTGGGAGTAGACTGCCCGTGGAACAGCTGCTGAATTTGAACCATGTACCTTTTGGTTGGCAGTGTAGTTCCTTACCACTAAGCCACCAGAGCTCTACATGAAGATGTAGCTGATGCTATTGGTATCCCAGTGCCACATTCCTGAGATCAGCATGATGTTCCAGTTGAGGACTCCCTTTGACTCTGTGTTTGTCAGTTGAGGACTCCCTTTGACTCTGTGTTTGTCAGTTGAGGACTCCCTTTGACTCTGGTGTCTTTGGGTACAAGTACAGGTTCTGTACTGCTGTTATTTGGTGCTACCAAGTCAGCTCTGATCCTGTGAATGACAGATCTGAACTTTGCCCTGTTCTGCGACAATGTCTGTCATGCTCAAGCCCATTTTGGTGGTTACTGTGGTGGTCTATTGTGTTGGGACTCTTCCTCTCTTTTACTGACCCTCTACCTTTTCCAACTTGAAAACAGTCTCTTTCCAAGGCTTGGTTCTTCCTGAAAATATGCCCAAAGTAAGTGAGAATAAATATGCCCTATAGACAAAAGTTCTGTACAAGAAACAGAAAAGCAAGGGTGAAAACCATGCCCTTGAACTTAAGGAATTTTAGGAGGAATTCAGATGAAGCCAGTAGCTGTGGCATGAAGGGCTGCTTTGTCATGCTCGATATCTAGGTTTAAAGAAATGTTATGCATCTTGTACTTTACTTGTTGTTTAGAATATATGAGCAAAATGTGTATCGATCAAAAATCTTGTATTTGAGTGATTTCGTGCCATTGATTATACTTTTTTTTGAGTTGTGCAACGTTCCTCTTCCTCCTTTTGAAAGTGGCTTCTCCTCCTTGATACTCGTTGCCCCCTACGATTCCTATGCAATCTTTTGAGTTACCGTTGTCACTTTGACTCCATGGAGATGGAGATTCAAAGAGTGCAATGTTCAAGGAAGATTTTTTAAAACAGTAACAGCAACAGAATAGTGACAGTCATTGCTGTGGAGCCATAACCAATTTATAGCTGACCTTACAGCAGGTTTTCAGAGACTGTACATCACATGGGAGGAGACTGCCCAGCCTTCTCCCATCAGCGGTAGATAGATTCAAACTGTCCAACTTTGGGTTGGCAGCACAGCTCTATACACGCGAGACCATCAAAGATCCTTAGCAAATTAAGAGAAATTATTTGAGACGGTGGGTTTTTTTGAAGGGGGGGAAGAGCTTTTTTTTAAAAAAAAATTAAAATTCATTGTTGCACATTATCCTCCCTCCTCTTTCCTCCCCCCTTCCCAAGTCCACTTTCCGATACACCTCTTCTTCCAGATTGTTGCCGTACATATAATGCCTAATCATGTATTCCTTTCAGACAGTCCTTCCTTTCATCTGTTTCAGTGCAATGTTCAGTATTGATGCACTCTTCCTGTGTTGTCCCTAAACCCCCATGTCAGTCCTATATTATAACAATAGTGTTATGCAGTATTTGTCCCTTTGTGACTGAGATATTTCACTCAGAATAATATTTTCCAGGTTCACCCGTGTTGGGTAATATTTTATAAGTTCATTGTTTTTCAGTGCTGCATTATATTCTGTTGTCTAAATGTACCATAGTTTTTATATTCATTCACTTGTTGATGGGCACTTGGATTTTTTCCATCCCTTTGCTGTTGTGAATAATGCAGCAATAAACACGGCATGCGCGTGCATCTGTTTGAGTTGTGGCTCTGTTGTCTTTAAGATATATTCCCAGTAGTGGAATTCTGAGTTAAATGACATTTGTAGTTCCAACATTTTGAGAAAGCATCAGTCTGCCTTCCATAGTGGTTGTACCATTTTACATTCCCACCAACTGTGAATAAGAGTTCAAATCATTCTACAAACTCATCAGCATTTATTGTTTGCTGTCCTGTTGAACTGTGCTAAACTTTACTGGGCTGAGATGATATCTCACAATTATTTTTATTTATATCTCTCGGATAGCTAGGGATTTCAACCTTTCTTCATTGTTTCTTGGCCATCTGAATATCTTTTTTGGTGAAGTGTCTATTCATATCTGCTGCTATTTTGTGATTGGGTTGTTTACCTTTTCCTTTTTGAGGTGTTGGAGTAGTCTAAAAATTTTAGATATGAGATATTCTTATCTGGAATGGATAGAGACCCTGAATAAGCAAAGCACTACTGTAAAAGAATCTAGGTAGGAGGCATCACATTCCCTGATCTCAAATCCTACTACACAGTTGTGGTGGGTCAAGACAGCAACAGACACATAGATCAGTGGAACAGAATTAAGAACCCAGGAATCTGCTCATATACATATGGTCAACTGATCTTTGACAAGAAGACGAAATCAGTTATGTGGGGCAATGACAGCCTCTTTAACAAATGTTGTTGGCAAAGTTGGAAAACCCGCTGCAGAAAACTTAAGCAAGACCCACACCTCACAATACACAGATACCAATTCATGGTGCCTTGGAGTAAAACCAATGACTATAAAATTCATCAGAGGAAAGCTAGGAAGAACTGGAGAAGCCCTAATCCACAGTATTAACAGTCTGTACAGTATGAGGAAAAGCCTACAACCAGGAGATTATAAAACAGATGAATGGGATCTTCTAAGAATCAAATTTCTATACACATAGAATAAGCTTCTCCAATAGGGTAAAAAGGAAACCCACAGACTGGAAAAGAAATATTTGGCCATGTCATATCTGATAAACTATTTGGTTTTGAGAAGACTTCAGGAGATATTTTTGACTTAAGGTTTAAAAATTACTTTAGGTCAGTGGTTTCACCCAAGCTTTATAGCTGTAGAATATTTGTAGTCCATGAGAACTAAATAGCTAGGTTTTAATCTGTAAACTATAGGAAGCCATTATGACAAGTTCTCTTTGAGACGAGAGTAGGGGATGGAGAAAGGACTTCTAAGGGTCATGAAGACCACCACCAAACCCTAGGGCAGTTGGATGGTTTTCTTCCCAAAGATCAACATGACAAAAATAGACCCAAAAAATGTCCAGGGACAGAAGAGGAAAGAGTTTAGCAACCCTGTAAAAGTCCAAATTATTCTTTTGAGCACTCCTATAAAAATGTTATATTATTTTAAATGAAATTAGAAAATTCTCCCTACTGGTATGCTTCACCGCACATATTTTGAACATGTTACTAGGAGGGGCTGCTCCTTGGAGAAGGACACAATGCTGGGAAGGGTGGAGGGTCAGCGAAGGAGAGGAAGACCCTCAACCGGGTGGACTGACACTGTGACTGAAGTGTGAGGAGTCGTACTCGACTTGATGGCACCTAACAACAACTAAACATTTTTTTAGTCAATTTCATTTTATGAGCAGCACATCAAATCTAGTTTTCACCTATAAGAATGCCACACATTTTATCATTTCATTGACCTTTTGCAAACTGTGATTAGGTTAAAACGAGTTGACAAAGCGTTGCAGAGACATGCTTTACAAATGCTGATGTGTGAGGGCTGTGTTGAGCTTCAGCATCAGAAAAGATTTAGAATAATTACCAATTGTTCTTATGGTTTCTGAAAAGAAAACGGTTTTCATTTTCTACATGGGTTTTCATGCCTGTCTTTCTCAGTTGCTTGCTATGTATGCATGACTCTACTTGCACATCTCATGTAGTTGATACTATTTTAACGTTTATTTTGGTGATTTTTGCATTTCAAATCTTAATGTGTTCCTTTCAGCTCACTGACCACAGTTTTTTAATGTACAAAATCTTAGCCTTTAGGTGTAGTTTAAAGATCTGAAATTTCAAATATATTCTCTGAGGTTGACCACAAAGCAAAGTCTTAGATTTATGCAACTTGAGTTTAAATGATGTTTTCCAAGAGAAGCACGCATGTGCACATCTCAAGTCAAAGCTGAAAACGGAGTAGAATATAACATTTCCCAGGTGATATTCAGACACAGTATTTAATCAGATATTTCATAAACCCAAAGATTTTTTTAAATTTATTATTTTGTTTGTGTGTATTATCAAATCAGTTCTGACTGGTAAAGGAGAAGATTGTGGATTCGAACCATGAACCCTGGGATTGCAGTGCAGCTTCTTGCTGCTAGGCCACCAGAGCTCCCTAAACCCAGAGATTTTTTAATTAGGAGGTTTAAAGAACTCCCAGACTACATTAATTTCTTCATTAATTCTAGCATGCTGTCCTTTTCTGCTCCTTGGCGATGTGAAATTTTCTTTTAGAGAAGGGAGAGGTGCTTTAGTCAATAAAGGGAAATGAGGCTGATTATGAGAGTTTGGGATGCAGAAGACTCATCTTTTCATTGGAACTTTACCTATTTCATATTTGGAGCAGCTGCTGACAGCGTCCTGCAGATTAGCGCCATGTTGCCTAATGAGGGTTCCCTTCACATCTTAGATGTCTAAATTTGGATTTATTTACTCTAGATTGTGGAAAACCACACCGGGAAATGAGGATGAATCCCAAAGCAATTACGGCCCCACAGATGTTTGGTCGACTCGATGTGACCACAAACGACTGGACAGATGGAATATTTTCCACGCTTTGGAGGAAAACACTGAGAGCTAAGAAAGGTAGATGACGGATCGCAAGGTTTACTCTTGGCATTTCCTTCTGAACAAAATAGTCTGTGACCATATGGAATTGCTTGAATAACTCTGCTCTCCTTATATAATATCTTAGCCAAGATTAAAGTGTTAGTATCATATTTGTGATTTTGAACTAGTGAAATTACTAATTAGTGTATTTAATGTCTCCAGTTTCCTTGATGGGTTACATAGAGAACTCTTCTTGTTGAATCATCTTGCTTTGTTCCTGTGGTACCTTAGAGAAAATAGTTGAACAAAGCTGTTAGGGAGAATGCAATAGGATGTGTTTACCATAACTATTTTCACTGAATATTGAAAATATTTTTTCCCTAATTGAAACACAACATTTTTTTAAAAGACAGATTTAAAATCACAAGAGAAAATACATTTCTTTAGGCGTGGGGAAGAATGTATGTATCAGAAAACTATATGTTGAACTAAAAAACTGCTTTGTTTAGATTTGTTTGTCCTTTAAACAGCTTTGCTAAGAGCTAGTGCTTCAGTCTGTAGAGATTCTTTAACATTGAACTTTCCAAGTTGAATGCAGTATTGACAGAATATAAACACAGATGAAGGTGGTGGTATCAGCCCCTCACCGCTTCATTGTATTCTCAGGTGAAGTAGAAAGGGCAGTGAACACTTGCTGGGAGAAGAATAACACAGGACAAACAATACTTGAGCTTCTTCCTCAGCCAACCCTTTTAGCAAGAGTGTATTTTTACACATTCTTAGTGTTTTGGTACCTTTGAAGCCTTCACTTAAAGTATACATCTGATCAACCTGACAGCAGATGCCAGAGGAGAAATGGAAATGCTGCATTTCCAAAGTGCACTGATATTGTACAGAGTTGTCGTTTTTTGTTGTTTTATTGGGAAGAAAGAAAATGTTTCTAATTTGTTTCAGTAAACTTGTATAAATACATGCTCAATCACCAAATGATACTTCAAAGAACACAAACTTTCCTTTCAATATGTAACTCTGGTGATGAGAATTTGACTTGAATGCATCATTGATTAAGTTTTCAAAACATTTTATTTGAAATGTAGACAGTCCTCAATTAGAAGAGGGTTGTATTTCAGTGACTTAATCATAAATCCATTTACCTTTAATACCAATCTCTTTATAAATCTGATCTTCAAACATTTGGGAATGATGATAACATCAAATTACATGCTAAGTTGTAGTAGAACATATTACTAACAATTAAACACATTCACATTGCTGTCCATTCAGGACTGATTCACAGCTGACCTTCCATTGGTTTTTCAAAGGCTGTAAATCACACAGGAGGAGATTAAGCATCTTTTCTCCTTCAGAGTAACGGGTGGATTTGAACCTCTTCCACTTGGCTTGGCAGTGCAACTTATTTCCCACTAGAGCACTAGATATACAAAACTCTCCCCCAAACCCGAACAAACAAACAAAACACAAGCAAAACAAACACTAAACTCAAGCTGCTTTGTAATTCTGAAAGCATACGGTTCAAATCCACCAGCTCCTCCGCAGAGGAAGAATGGACAGTCCTCCCATGTAGTTAACTGCCTCTGAAAACCCACTGGAGGGTCAGCTTTGGGTCAGTTTAGACTTGACAGTACAAAACAACAACAAAAACAACATGTGGGGTTCTATATAACTCAAGTTTGTGGTAAATTGGGGACTACATGCAGTTATGTGCCAACATAATTGTTACATGTTGTTGTTTTTAAGTGCTGTAGAGTTTTAGACGACCTATAGAGACCCGTGAACAATTTCAATCTCTTCGCCAAATTGAGGGTGCCAGCTACTCTTTGTCAGTTCTGGGAGAAGTCCTTATTTTCCTGGAGATCCTCATGTGTCTTGGCTTTCCCTGGTGTCAAGGAACTTTCTTGCACAGAAACTTAAGACACACTCCACTGGGGCAATTCTTTGTTGCTGGTACATAAGTCCTCCTTACTCTCTTTTCTCCCCTTTTCAGTGAGAGAAAAGGAGTGAGATGCCACATGTGGGAACACTCCCTTACATAGATTTAAGGCTCTGTTGGGATTAAAGGGTGTTGGATCCCACCCTTAGTACTTCCTCCTTCCAATTACTCTTGTTAATATGTTGGTTGGTGAGCATTCCACACTTAATACTTTTACAACTATTTGATTAAGCTGATCCTGGGAAACCATTACACAGCTTCAACAGTACATTATTACATATGCATATTTTAGGAGGACACACTTCAGTATGACATAGGGGTCCTGTGGTGCTAGCTCGTTGGATACAAGTGTCAGTTTTCAGTTTAATCCCACTCTGAGCATCTTCTAACAGAACTGATCACTCTCCTCTCTAGAATTTTTCTTCGCCTGCCTTTGGGGACACTTCATCCTGCTAGCCTTTTTGGGTTTTGTTGTTTGTTTTTTTTTTGTTTTTTTTTTTATTCTACTTCACCTGCTTTGTTGAGAACTCAAGAGATAGGGGAGGTATTAAAGGAAACTCCCTCTGCCCAGTGCTGTTGTGTGCCTTTGATTCACACCACATCCGTAGCTGAGCTGTTGTGTGCCATTGATTCACACTACACCCATAGCTGACCTGTTGTGTGCCATTGATTCACATTGTAACCATAGCTGACCTTCCAGTGGGTTTTCAGAGGCAAGAAATCACACAGGAGGGGACTGTTCATTCTTCTCCCATGGAGCAGCTGGTGAATTTGAAGTGCATGCCTTTGAGATTGCAATATAACTTCTTATTACCAGGCTGCTCAGACCTCTTGGGGAAACCTCTATGGGGAAACATACCCATTACCATGGTTTTCAAAACCATGTGGGAAGTGATGACTCGTGTATTTTTCTCTCCAGTACTGCCCTCTCCCCAGAGCTCCAGTAACACTACTTAGCTGTCAGTTGAACACCTCACACCTAGCATCTGCAAACAGGACTTCATTCCGTGGTTTTTTTTCTGTATGGCTCCATCTGTCTTCTGAATGCATTTAAATCACAACTCTACATTTTTATGTACTTTTAAAATTTAATCTCTCTTCTTCCAAATACACACTCTATGATGGTGAATACTTGTTTCTCTATCCACTGATACCCTAGAAAAGTGTTGCACCTAAAATGTGCTCAATACATAATTACTCATTTGAGGAACATGTAACTTTTTGATTATGAGCCTGTCTGCTCTGTAGAGAACTTGAAAAGTCCTAGATGATAAATAATCATTTAGATAAACAATTGAATTAAAAATAATAACAATGATCTAAATGAAAATTTGTAATGTAATAATCTTTACTAATAACCTTTCTTCAAGACACAGATAATGTTTTTTTTGCTTTGGTGGGTGTCCTAGGGGAACATATCTGGATTGTTCTGGATGGTCCAGTGGATGCCATCTGGATAGAAAATCTCAATTCTGTTTTGGATGACAACAAAACTCTAACCCTTGCCAATGGTGACCGGATCCCTATGGCTCCAAACTGCAAGATCATTTTTGAGCCTCATAACATTGACAATGCCTCGCCCGCTACCGTCTCAAGAAATGGAATGGTTTTCATGAGCTCTTCTATCCTAGACTGGAGTCCTATTCTTGAGGTATGATGGGAATTTTTCTTATGTATAACTTAAAACAATCTTTCCGCAGTCATTCAGTAGCTTTTCTGAAGACCTACTTTATACTTCACCCTGTGTGTTAATGTTTAAGGAAGAGCCTAGAATGTGCTGTGCAGGTCCTGCTTGCCTCTTAGGGGTTTCTTTAGTGCTCAGTGCTTTTCTAGAACTTACCAATCTACAGGTTGTGGAGCAGCTGTCAAGAGCATATGAATCAGTCATCTTTCCAAATTGTGTCTGAGAATTAAAAACTTAGCATTAACTTCTCTCACCTTGGGGATTCAGGATATTTTTAAGAGATACTCATTCACCTGAAATGTGAGAACAACCACTTTAGAATATTAACTTGAAACTGTATTTAAAAATCATATATAAGAAATGTTTAAAAGTGTAATAGTAATTATTTTCATCTTGAGTTTGTTTGTGGAAATAATTTTTTATAATATTGCTTTAATTCTAATATTTCACATAAGATTGCTTTGATTCATGTTCTATTATTTGGCTGCCGCTAATATATTCCAGAGTATCTTGACTATAATTAGGTTATAATTAAATGTAGTTGCAGTCGCAGTGAGTCACAGGTGACTTGATGACACACAACAACAACAACAACTGCATATTTGGCTATTTTAATAAAGAAATAAATGCTAAAAAAAGAAATAAATGTTATTCTATAAAATTGAATGCCTGCTAGTAAACAATTTGGAGAGTTCTTTTAACATAATTGGTGAAGTTTTTGTTTTCAGTTGTATAAGATTTTGATCTGATGAATTCAATTTGTGAATAATAGTAATAATAATTTAAATGCCTTTTAATTGGCTGTTGGTGAAGAGTTTTGAATACACTGTGGACTGAGAAAAAGGGTAAGCAATCTGTCTTGGAAGAATTACAGTCAGAATTCTCCTTTGAAATGAAACAAGGATGATGAGAATTCATCTCACATACTTTGGACATGTTACCAGGAGGGGCAAGTCCTTGCAAAAGGTCATTGTGCTTTGAAAACGAGAGGGTAAACAGAAAAGAAGGTCCTGAAAATGAGATGGATTACATGGTGACAGGAGCAACGGACTTTTCGTCTCTTCAGATCATGAGGATGGCACAGGGTGGATGTGATTGTGAGGACGGTCAGGGTTTTGTTCTCATGCATAGGGTTGCTATTGTGCATGGGAACTGACCCAACAGTACTACCATCAACACATTTCATGTTCCAAACACTCGTGGTTGTTTACAGCAGCTTATACTCATTTTAAGTCATGCCACATCAGTAAACGAATGTGCCAAACTCTTCACTCCATCCAGGCTCTCATAGCCGACTCTACTTGGAGGAGCCAGCTCTCCTCCAGTTCTACCCTGAGTGCCTTCCGACCTGAGGAACTCATCTTCTGGAAGGATATCAGATGCTCTGCAGTTGCCCATAATGCATTTACTGGTAAATTCTTTCAGAAATAGATCACCAGGTTCTTCTTTCTAATGTGACTTAGTGTAGAAGCTCCAGTGAACCCTGTCCAACACGGGTGGCGATGCTAGTATTTGAAAACCCTTGGCAGAGGTTTTAGCATTATAGCAACATGCAGGCTACCAGTTTGACAGACAAGTGGTGAAATGTTTTTATTTTTATTTTTTTTAACACATGCCTTTATGTGATATAGTTTCTTCTTTATAATGTCAAGGAAGAAGAAAGACTCCTAGAGGAGCTGATAGCAAATAATTAGGGTAGTGGGAAGTAGCTTTGCAAGCATTAGTAGAGGGCCAGGCTGTTGAGGTGTTGTATTGATGAGGATCTGTCAGCTGCGTGAGCCAAGCTGGGTGATGGCCCAGGACCTGTGGTTTCTTCAACTTTAAAGTACTATGTGCTGTTTTAAGGTCCTGTGTCACTGTGGAATTATGATAACTCCAGGAATTAATGAATAATTCAACACCAATTTTACATTACTTCTGTTCTTCCTCTTACTAGAACAGAATGTCTTTTGCTTCAGAGTCTGAGTGTTCCTTGGAATATTGAGATAAAGAATTAAGCCAATCTTATAATCTAAGAGAACTTTCCTCACCTTAGGAAAATGTGTGAGTTAAGTGATGTATTTCTATGAATGACATACACTTGCGGAATATTGGCTTCCATGTAGAATTAAGAGCTTTGTTTTCTTGAGTATTTGCTAACACTTTTCCAAATCATTCATTAACTGATATTAGGGGAAAAGAAAACAGTTGCGGCAAATGTTTGTTTCCTATTGGGAAAAAAAAATCTAGGTATGCATTTGTGTCTTTCATTCTCTGTTTTTCATTTAAAAATCAACAGTCTAAAGAGCACAAAATGAGACATGTGGGCACAGGTCTGTGAGAATTTCTCTGAAAGGGCCAGAGGGAGTGAGAATAACACAGCCCCTCACTGCTCAGAGCAGAAAGTAGAGGAAAAAAATGCCTAATAGCCCAGCCCCTTAGTACCTCTAGAACCACACCAGCAGCAAGAGGTTCATTTATTCATTGTTGAGTCACAGACTCACAGTTGTGGTACCAAGAGTGGAGTTTATTAGGGAAGTAAGTTCAAGAGTGGGGAGACAATATCACCACATGTAAATCGAGGTTTTAGCCCAGATTCCAAGGCACAGTTCCTCAATTCCTTCAGGCTTTGATTTTAGTTCAACAATACAAGTTCAAGAAGCCTCTGGTTTCCTCAATCATCCAGCAAGGTTTGTCTCAAAGCAGTAATAAGTCAGATTCTCCTCCAAGCATGGGCAAGAACAGCACGGCCTTTGACTGTGGCCAGCACAAATGCAAGAAGCTTCAGATCACACTTTTACTGTGGTTTCTCCACAGCAGTGCCCATCTCTCCACCACCATCACCAGGGTTTCGCTCCAATCTCCCTCAAGTCTTGCCACCCCGAGTCTTGCTCTCTTTGAGGCTTGCTCTCCTCAAGTCTTGCTCCTCAGTGTGGGAAGCATTCTTTCTCTTCTCCTACTGCCACAGCTGTTGATGATTTGCAAGACCATGTGTCTGTCGTTAAAATAGCTGGAGATCAGAAGGGGCCAAGATAATGGCTAAAAATAGCCAACTTTAGGCTAATACTTCCCAGCCAAATAATTTTCAGATGTGACTCCTCATTTTATTTTTCTCATTGTCGCTGGCACAGTTGAGTCCATTGCTGCAGTCACTGTATCAATCCATTTCATTCAGAGTCTTTCTTTCTTACACCAACCTTCCATCTTTCCAAGTGTGATATCCCTTTCCAAGGAATAGCCTCATGTCAACATGTCCAAAGTATGAGACAGCAACTTTATCATCTTTGCCTTTAAGGGACACTCTGGCTACCCTATCTCCAAGACTTATCTCTTTGTTCCTTTGGCAGCCCATGAGCTAATCAGTACTCTTCTGTGGCACCATGGCTCAGAGGCATCAATAATTCTTTTTCATCATTATTCATTTTCCAGCTCTCAGATCCTGAAGACCTTAGTCTTCAAACTGACATCCGTGCTCGTCAGGGAAGCTGACATAATTGCTTCTCCTCTAAAGTGAAAACTGTATTGACTTTACACTTAATGCATCTTCAGTGTTGTAACTGGATAGATGGATGGGTGTATGGATGGATTAAAGACTGAAATTATCAATGATTTTATCTTGCTTGGATCCACAATCAACACCCTTTGTACCAGCAGTCAGGAGCTGCTATGCGTTAGCAATCTGGACAATGACTAGGGATGACAGAGAGACAATTGTTGCCTTTGAGTTGTGGTGTTAGAGTATTATGGATTCTTATATCAGACATTGTGCTTGGACTCTGGCCCTGCTAAACTACCAGCTGTGGGGGCCTGGGTGGGTTACTTCAACTTCTTGGCTACGGTTTCCCAATCTGTAAATTGAGACTAATATAAGAACATATTTGAGAATTAGATCAGGTAATGCATAAGCATGTATGTATCTAGACCTGGCATGTCATACATGCAGTAAAACATTGCTATGACTAGGTACTGTTGAGTCAGTTCTAATTCATAATAATACCAAGGACAGCAGAAGGAAATTCTGTCTGATCTTGCTTTATGCTCAAAATCTCTGGTACACTTAAGTCTGTTGCTGCAGTCCCTGTGTAAATCCATCTTGTTGAAGGTCTTCCTTTTTTCTTTTTTCTTGACATTCTGCTTTCCTAAGCATATGTACTATTCCTAGGGACTCACTCGTTCTAACAGCACACCCAAAGACATGAAGTCTCATCCTCCTTGCCTCTAAGGAGCATCCTGGTTGTACGTCCTACAAGATAGATGTGTTCGTTGTTTTGGAAGTCCATGGTGTAGTCAATACTCTTTGACAACACCACAATTCAAAGGCATTAATTCTTCTTTGAGCTTCCTTATTCGTGGTCAAGCTTTCAAACACCTATGAAAAGATTGAAAATGTTGCTAGGTGCCATTGAGGAGTTGACTAGAATGTGTAAGAACCCTATGAACAATATAACTGAGCCTTATCCTATCATGCTCTAGCCTCATAATCTCTGTCATGCTCAAGCCTACTGTTTTCGTTTGGTTTTTAAATTTTATTCTGATTTATTTACAAAGTTTGAATACCTTGTTTTTCCTGAAAGATCCTTTCCATTTCCTTCACCCCACCCACCCATCGGATTGTGCAACCTTATGATTAACACCCTACCCCACAAGCCTACTGTTGTAGACACGGGCCAGCCCATTTTGTTGAAGATCTTTCTCTCTTTCTGACTCTCCACCTTTACCAGCATGATGTCTTTTTTCCAAGGACTTCCCTCCTACAACGTACCCAGAGAATGTGAGACCAAGTTTCACCATCCTTGCCTGTAGGGAGCACTTTGGTTGTACTTCCTCCAAGACAAATTTATTTGTTCTTTGGGCAGCCCATGGGATATTCAATATTATGAAAAAAAAAAGGAGGATTTGACAAAAGGATGGGTGTTTGCTTTTTAGAACTTTAAAGAGTTCCTTAACAGCAGATTTCACAATGCAACACGGCTTTTGATTTCTTGACTGTTGCTGCCATGAGTGTTAACGGATTCAAGTAAAATGAAGAGATTGACAACTCAAATCTCTCCCATCTTCAATATTTTAATATTTTTAAATATTGGCCATCATTAGAGTATACTGTAAATACTTCCTTTTTAAAAATTGTCCCCAAGTGGCCACTATCTGCTCTTTTATTAATGCACTATTCTGTGAACTAACAGGGTTTTCTTAAAAAACGCTCAACTCAAGAAGCCGAGATACTCCGTCAGCTGTACGCGGAGTCCTTCCCACACCTGTATCGCTTCAGCATTCAGAATCTGGACTACAAGACAGAGATGCTTGAAGCCTTTGTCATCATGCAAAGCATTACTATGCTCCAAGGCTTGATCCCTCCAAAGGTAAATTAGTTAACTTGTCTCTCTTATGAACTGAGCCATGCTATGCAGACAGTACAATTTTTATTCTGTAACAGCTATGGTGAATATTTATAGCATTTCCCCCCCCATGTATCCTTTTAAAAAAATTCATTTCATTCAACCATTCATGTACCCTATGGCCTATAATGTCAATTAAAATTGATCAGTGCCCTTTATCACAACATCTCATCAAATCCTCAATGTACCTCACCTATTCCTTTATCCCATACATCTGTCTATAAATCTCTGCTACCCTAGTATTTTTCTCCTTCCTATTTCTTTATCCTTTTCCCTTCTTCCACTCCCCTCCCTCATTGTACAGTTAAACATGTCCCATTTCAAGTTGTTGATTGCAATACCTGTATTGTACTTTCGTCCTTATTTCCATGTTGATCTCTCTTCATCATCTGTACATTTTATTTCTGCTCCTTTCCCTGTAAGACCCCAACCCCTTTCTATTTTTACAGTATCAGTTTTATACAGTATTTATCTTTTTATGACTGAATTATTTCACTCAGCATAATATTCTCTAGACTCATCCATCTTGAGTAGTGTTTTATGAGTTCAAATTTTTTCTTGCTGTATAATATTCCATTGTGTGACTGTACCACGATTTCTTTATCCATTCATTTGTTGATGGGCATTTGGGTTGTTTCCATCTTCTTGCTATTGTGAATAATGTTGCAGTAAACATATGTTTGAGTTGCAGCTCTAATTTTTTAGGGGTTTATTCCCAATAGTAGCATAGAGTGTCAAAAGGGATTTCTATTTTTACCTTTTTGATGAAATGTCAAACTGCCTTTCATAGTGATAGTACCATTTTACATTACCACCAGCAATACATGAGAGTTCCAATCCCTCTTCATCCTTGGCAGCATTTATTGTTTGTTGTCCTGTTTTGTGGTTGCTAACTTTGCTATTGCTGCTGGTGTGGGATCTCATTGTTGATTTGATTTGCAGCTAGTGATTTCAAGCGTTTCCTCCTATGTGTGTTGGACATCTGAGCATCCTCCTTGGTGAAGTATCTTTTCATATCTTCTGTACATTTTGTATTTGAGTTATTGGACTTTTTCATTTTGAGGCACTGTAGTATTCTGTAATTTTTAGTAATGGTTCCCTTGTCAGATATGTCATTGCCAAATGTTTTTCCTAGTCTATGGGCTATTTATTTCACAGTTTTGTAATATTTTTATGACACAAGAATTTGATTTTTAGGAGATCTCATTTGTTGTTTTATCCTCTCCTGGTTGTATATTTTTTACTATGTTTGAAAGACTATTCATTTCATAGACTCTTGTGTACCATTGAGTTGGAACAAACCCATACCTGATCACCTGGCAGGTTTTCAGCGGCAGTTATTTGCACAGGAGGAGATTGCCCATCATTCTCCCACAGAGTAGCTAGTGGATTCGAACTGCATGCCTTTGAGATTGCAGTTCAGCTTCTTGCCATTAGACCACCAAAGCTCTGTCAGAGACTAAGGATTCTAAGTTTATTTCTATTTTTTTTCTTTAATGATCTTTTAGACCTAGGTCCCTGATCCACCTTGAGTTGGATTTTGTGTATGATGTGAAACATAGATCTTATGTAAGTTTTCTGCAGGTAGATCTCCAGTTTACCAGTACCATTTGTTACAAAGGTTGCTGTTTCCACATGTAATGCATTTTGTTTCCTTGTGAAATGTCAACTGAGTGTAAGTAGATGGTTTGGTTTCTGGGTTCTCGTTTCTATTGCATTGATGTATACACCTGACATTGCAGCAATGCCATGCTGTTTGGATTATCATGGCTGTGAAGGAGATTTTGTGACAAGGGAGTGTGTTTCCTCTGACTTTCTCTTTTTCAGAAGCCCTTTGCTTATTCAAAGTCTCTTTACTTTCCAAATAAAATTGGAAATGTATTTTCTAGCCTCTTGAAAAATGATATTGGTATTTGCATTGAAATTGTGTTGAACTTGTAGATTGTTTTTGGTAGGATTGTTATTTTCATCATACTGAGTTTTCTATCCATGAACATGGAATATCTTTCTTTCCATTTTAGAGTGAACATTTTTTAAAATATTTTCATTTTTGCGTCTCATAAAGAATCCAAATATGATGCAAATGATGAAACCCTGGACAACTAACTCCAAGGTTAGACATTCAAACTAGTGGTGCCTGTAGAAATAAGACCTGGCAATTTATTGATAGATCACAGCATCAGAATCCTTATGGAACAATTCGACTCCACCCTAAGAATGAGTTCACTTCCAGGCTTGAGAACTGTCTAAAGGCCATCATAGTCATGTGGGCTCTGATTCTACCAGTCTTTCCCAGACCAGTAGTCCTGGTATTTTTTTTCTTTAATTAATGATTTTTTTAGTGCAATGTAAATGTTTTTTTTACAGCATATTCTATCCATTTGATTTTTCCACATTCATTCGTTGTTGAACATTTTCCTCCCTGCCCACCCTTCCCCAGTTTGTTTTTCTCTTTGAAAAGAAAAAAAAATTCCTTCATTGTTATACAATACCCCCCCCCAAGTCCACAGTCCACTTTACTGTGCATTTCTTTTTCTGTAATCTTGTCATAAAAATAATGCCTACTCCTATATTCCTTTTAAACAGTTCTCTCCTTCATCTGTTTCAATGCAGTATACATAATTTATCTCTTTTCTTAGGTTCCTCTGAACCTCCATGTCAGTCCTGGTATTTCTATAGTTTTGTTCCACATTTTCCTACTCTTTCATCTAAGATCTCCTGCTGTGATTCCGTTCAGAGTGGTCAGCAATGGTAGCCATGCACGATCTCGTTCTTTAGTTCTCATTGGGAACCACTGATGTTGGCGTTTACCTGGTGCATTAGTCCTTTGGATTGGTTCCTTCCACCTTTGCTTTCTTCACTTTTCTTTACTCTGCATGGGGAGAGACCAACAGTTTTCATTGAAACGCCCCAAACAAGTTTCAGTTTGAGAATCAGGTAAGTAAAACATGGGTTTTTCTCCTGTCTTCAGGAACAAGGTGGGGAGGTCACTTCTGAACACTTGGGACGATTGTACGTCTTCTCTCTGATGTGGAGCATCGGAGCTGTGCTGGAACTGGAGGGCAGGCGCAGAGTGGAGCACTGGCTACGCTCCCAGGACTCACTCACCTTGGATCTGCCAACACTGGCAGGTGCAGAAGACACCATGTTTGACTACTACGTGACGTCAGATGGTGAGGCACGGACTTCTATGGACACACCTGGGAGATATTCCTGGATTGGCTCTAGACAATTGGAATAACAAATATCACAATAAAGGAAGTCACATGAGGTTTTATTGTTTCCTAATACATGCTTGGGAGGGTGGAAGGATGGCACAGGAGGGGAAGACCCTTGATGAGATGGGTTGATTTTGTCACTGAGGAACTGGGAGTGGATGTGTCAGAGATAGCAAGATTGGCAAGAGATAGAGTAGGGTTTAGGGCTGTTGTGCATAGGGTCACTATGAGTTGCAGGCGACTCAGTGGTACATAACAACAACAACATGTATATAAAAGTGAGCTCTCATGCACACCCATGTTTATTGTGGCTTTGTTCATAATACCAAAGAGTTGGAAACGACCCAAGTGCCCATCAACAAACAAATGGATAGAGAACTCTGGTATATTCACACAATGGAATACTATGTTGCACTGAAAAACAGTAAAATCATGAAATATTATTCAAAATGGGTGACCCTGGAGGACATTATGTTGAGTGAGATATCTCAATCACAAAAGGATAAATATTGCATAGGGCCACTGTTGTAAAATGAGACTGAGGGAAGACAGAGAAGGAGGAGAGAAATGATGTATACTTCATTGAAATAGATGAGGGACAGAACTGTTTAAAAGGAATATATAATTGGGTATTATTGTCATGACAGGAGTCCAGAATGAAGGCTGCATAGTAGAGTGGACTTGTGGGGAGGGACTGCATAACAATGAAAGAGGGTTTGCTGTTTTTTTGTTGTTGTTGTTTTTTACATTTCAAGAAGAAGTGGGGAGGGTGTGGGCAGGGAGAAAAGTGCAACAACAAATGATTGGAAACCCTAAGTCTCTGTAAATTTTTCATTAAAATTAATTATTTTTTAAAAAAAAAAGATGACAGAAAACAGAAAAAAAGGAAAGTGAGCTCTCATGTATTACCACCATCTAGAACACTTAACACTAATTTCCTGATTATATATGCTCAAAATAAAATGTGAGCTCTTGTAGCCTAGTGTGTAAGAGTTGTGCTGCCAACTCAAAAGCAAGCAGTTTGAATCCACCAATTTCTCTGCAGGATGGACACGCTCCTCCTATGTGATTTACAGCCTTTGAAAGCCTACTAAAGAGTCAGCTGTGAGTCAGTTCCAGCTTGATGGCAATGAATTTGACTTTGAGCGCATACAAAAGTGATGTTTACACTGTGTTGTAGTTTATTAAATGCTCATTGCTATCATGAAAGAAGTTTGAAATAGTTTGAGAATTACCAAAGTGTGACCCAGAAACACAGACTGAGCACAGCCTGTCAGGAAAGTGACACTCATAGACTTGCACAACATGGAGTTGTCACAGTCCTTCAGTCTGTAAAACTTCAGTGTCTGTGAAAGGCCTAAAGTGAATTTTAATAAAATGGAATATGTCTGTATTCGTGTACAACAGCTGGGGACAGTTTTTTTCCCCAAATGACTAATATTTATACAAAACATTTTGTTCTAAATGGGTAATTAAAACTGTTGGCTGTAAAACTAAAATGGAAAATTTTATATGCAGAGAAAGCTAATGCTAATTAATTTTTTTCCCCACAATTTATTTGGATTGTAATCCAACTGCACATTTGGACTTTGTTAAATGTGTTTGCAAGGGACACTGATGGTACAATGGTTAAGTACTTGGCTACTAACTGGAAAGTTGGCAGTTTGAACCAGCCCTGTAGATCCTCAGGGAAAGAGCTGGTAATCTGCTCCTGTAAAGATTCTTGCTCTCATGTGTCATTGAGTCGACTATGACTCATGGGCACAAACAGATCTGAAACTCGTCTACTCTTCACCGTCCGCATTATCTCCAACATGCTCAAGCCCATTGTTTAAAAGATTATAGCCGGGGAGCTCTGGTGGCCTAGTGGTAAGGAGCTGCAACTACAACCTCAGAGGTGCACGGTTCGAATCCATCAGATGCTCTGCCGGGGAAGGAGGGACAGTCTCCTCCTGTACCAGTCAGATCTGATTTGACGTTACACTCACACAAAAATAGTAAAATTAAAAAAAAATTACAGCCCAGAAAACTCTATAAGGCAGATCTACTCTGACACCTAGATTTATCATGGATTTTTTACAAAAAGAAATAGACTCAGCAGTGCCTAATGATAACCAATGTCTTTGTGCACTGAACGGCCAATGATTTAAAAACAATAGAAAACTCCAGCTCAAAGCCAATTCAGCCATTCAGCTATTGCTGTGTAATCAGCAATTGACATTGTCATTTTGAAGTGTGTGTATAAACTATATGAATAACTAGAATATGTTTCATGATAGGAGTCCAAAATAAAGGCTGCACAGTGGAATGGACTTGGCAGAGGGATTGCATCACAACTAAAGAGGTTTTCTTTGACTTTTCAAGGAGAAGAGTGATTGGTGGGGTCGGGGTAGGCAGGGAGAAAAGTGCAACAATGAATGACTGGAAACCCCAAGTCTCTGTAAAGTTTCATTAAAATTCATTACCCCCCCAAAAAAAGGAAATTGCCCATCTTTCTCCCACAGATCAACTAGTGATTCAAATCACATGACTTTGGGTTTACAGTACAACTTTGAAACCACTAAGAAATTAAAAATTTTTAAAAATTAAAAAAAAATAGAATACATTTCATAAATCATTTATTATAGATTGATAGCTAGCTACCTAGCTAGGTGCCATTAAATCAATTCCAAGTCATGAACAAAAAAAATAAAATTTTACTTAGTCTTGGCTGGTATCATGCTATTACTGGCATGTTTGAGTCCATTACTGGGGCTGTTGTCTCCGTTCAATTGATCAAGATTCTCCTTTCTCTTGTTGACCTTCTACTTTGCTGGACGGAATATCCTCCGGCTGTTGATCCTTCCTGATGATGTGCCCAAAGCGAGCAAGGTGAACAGTAATGGTGTATTGTGAAACATAAGGTTTTCATTGAC